GACACGTTTTATTCCGTTACTTTATTACAGTTTGGTGTATATAATGACTTAATGACAGACGTTCAAAATCTCTTTTATGGCCACCAGAGTACGGTTTATTATAGGGAAGTTAAATCAAAGTTATATATACCCTGAAGAAGGTTTTATTATGTGGTTTCATATCGTCATTTTGTATATTGTTTGTAGTATAATATGAATAACAGATTAAAACTCTATCTACTTTATTACGATTTAATTTTGAAATAGATTATTATGTTTTCAAGAAAACTGCATGTTGTAATGATGTTTTTATAATAGTAACTAGTAATAAAGAGAGTGAATATAAGTAGAGTACAATACAAAAGAGTGTATAAAACAACAGATATATTAGTGTCATACTAATATTATTTAGGGTCGATTTTTCAATCATGAGTTAATTCTTAACTGTAGCTTTTAGTATGGAAGGATTGTCAAATACCTATTCAGTTATTCCTCGGTTAAAATTTATATAGCGTTGGAAAAACCAGCCCTTAAGTATATGAAATGAGTGCTCGAATATTTTTTTTAGTCATAGGTTGAGCCTCGTATTCAAAGATATATATGTACATACCAGAATAGGATTGATGTCTATGAAAAGACATTCTAACATATTAAAACGTTCTAAAAAAAGAGTACAAACTTGATCGTTTTAAATGCCATCCAGTTACGTTGAAAGCGTGCTTCTAACGTGAATAAAAAAAAGAAAGCTTTTGTGTGTGTATCGAGGCAAGTTTACAAGCTACACACGTTTTACTTGTTTTATACGAATTTTATATATATAATAATATTATACAAACGAGTGAAAAGAGGCGGAAAATAGTATCTTTTTTGGATAAAAAGGGCAATAATTGTATGTTTACTTTATGGGTTAAAATGGTATAAAATAAAACTCAATTTTGCCTTAAATACACCGTCGAATATGGATAATTTAGCGAGCAAATTTCGCACGCTAGCCTTGTTAACTAAGGCTAAATATACAAAGCTGTTTGCAACCGAGTAAGCCTATGTTCGCTCTACAATATTCTGAGTAATAGCTTTCACGTTGTAGGGTTTACTTTTAATTGATTGAACATAGTTAAAAGGTAAGCGGACAAACTGCAGGTGTATTTGGTTATTTACTGAGAATTTGTCTTGTTTATACAAATATATACATAACATAACATAACATCACGCCTTTTATCCCCGAACCACCTCATTAGGCCACTGTACAATGTAATACCCACTTTTTATTATTTACGATATGAGTCCCATGTAAAGTGGGTTAGCCTATTGCCATATATCGGGCCTAATTCCAGGCTCCGTGCTACTATTGAAAATTTTTAAAAACTCAGTAATATTTTGCCCGACCCGGGAATCGAACCCGAAACCCCTTGCCCGGCAGTCACACTTGCGACCACACGATCAGCGAGGCAGTCAAATATATACCTTCATTATATTACGTGGCATAATATTTCTCTATGTTCAATAAAATTGATTTTCCTACGTAATGGTGATATGGATTCGCAGACGTTTTTTGATTGAAAGTGCAGTATTGATGTTGAAGCTTCATTAAAAAAAATAGTTATAATTATATTACTTTTCATAACCCAGGCTTTAACACGTTAACTGCCACTGAAAAAGTGCACATTTTCTGTTCAGGCCATGGGGGACAATGTTGAGCGACACTGAAACTTTCCGTTCAAGCCGCGTCTGACAATGTTGACCGCGCGTCAGGCCTATGTTCAAAACCCTCTATTGCGCCAACGGACAGCATTATCGAGATAATTCGCTTATAATGTGACCCGCGCGGCCCTTTAGTTTATCCTACATAGCTTGGTTTTTAAATGAAAGAAACACTTAGAAAAAAAATGGTTTTTGAAACGCATTACTCTTGACAAATGAAATCACTTATAGTTTAGAGATTATAAGTAAACAAAAAAAACGTTTGTTACAGAAAAAAATGTTTAATCAATTTGAGCCTCTTAAATGTAATTAAAATAAACTTATACGAAAACAAAACTTAAAAGCTTATCGTAGGCAAGACAGGTACCATACTATATAATTGTTTTCCGCTAATGGAATTTTGTGAAACATTCAACACAAAGATAAGGTTTATCTGGACAGTTGACACAGAAGGTGTTCACTTTTTTAGTTTTGTTTTTAGCGATTAAACGTCCATGGGTAGCTACCATATTCTTATAACATTGTTGGCATGCACGGCGGGATTTACTTGTAGGTCCTTCCTTTTTCTTCAATTGGTGCTTTACTCTTTTCGTTCTTTGATTTGATGGAGTATCATAAACAATAAATTAAATTTACAATGTAATGTGCACGTCACTAATCGGAGATAACGACTGCGTCACTGCGAGCGCCAACGCAATGAGAATGAGACAACTCGGCGTATGCGCGGGGAAGGAGTCGCGGGCGGCGGTGGGCGGCAACCTGACCGCGCGGCTCTATTTAACGAATTTTTGATTTTTCGTCCAGTGAGGCCATGGGGGTCAATGTTGTGCGATGCGTAATAACGAATAATAAAGGTATAAAATCATTGTGTTTTCATTAATACACGTTATTTCAATATATAAGGTGGCTAAATAATGAATAAAAAGTATATGTGAAAAATTATAAAAATGAGGAATTTTACTTAGCTTGATAGCGTATATGAGCATCGGACAACATTGACCGCGTTGGCAGTGAACGTGTTAAATAAAAACTCTGTGTTTTGACATCGGGACGTTTACGTGGGCTACAAGCTGTTACTGCCATGGATTTGAACTTTTGTCATAAACAAAAAACGAATAGTGGTCGTGGCATGTCACTGAACTAATTTAATCCGGTTACTATTTTTGTGTGTAAATTAATCTATGAATAACAAAATGAGAATCGTTGTATTGTTCATTTTACCGAGGCGATGTATTTCACGCTAGCGTGAGTGATCAGAGCGATTCATCAAGTTTAGATATCCGATACTACAGGCTGCAGCTAAATGCTTCTAGTTTAAACACAAAGAGTATAGCAGCTAACTACAAACTCTAATATCACGTCTATTATTTACACACGATGGTAGGCAGTGAACATAAATTTTACAGCATTGTTATTGTGTGGTAATTTAAGTTTATTAATAAAGAAACTTTTTTTTATTGCCACATATGTATTTACTGGTTGACCCGACCAACTTCTCACATTTTGAAAATTCCCTAGATTTCAAAGCCAAATTGGTCCAGCCTTTTTTGAGTTTTAGCGAGACTGTATATATAGATGTATATTAATATACATTAGGTGCCGTAGGAATGCCTACGGCACCCTGGCAGACAATGGTTTGCCAGGCTGACCTTAGGGTGATGTAGAGAAGAGTGTAAGTGACAAATTCCTTAAGGAAAATGCAGTAAATATGTACCTCATGTTTGTAATGTAATCCGTTGTAAATTATCTGCTGTATGGTGTACATGAAATGACCAATAAAGAAAGAAAGAAATATTTAATGTATATTTCTTATAAATAATGTAGCAATGGTACCAATTCCATCCCACATCCTATCTCATAGTCTTGTAATATATCAAACAAGGAGAAAGACAAACATAATCAGGTTATTAGGGTCGTAACAGAAAGTACAGGCGTCCTTACAACGTACAGACTTGTCATTCACTCACCCCATTCGTCTCAGACGAATTAGTATTCTTTGTCCATTCACCGACAAAGACGTACATATATATATGTGTATGTACAGTAAATAGTTACGTTAGTACGTCATGAAGCAGACGTGTCATTTGTTTGACCCAAGTAATTTGCAGAACGTTGCCGTTAGATCAACGGTAATTTGCTTTTCTATTGGCGTACAAGAAACTAGTGATGTTTTTATACGCTCTTACATTGATATTTATTCGTATTGAATGTTTTTCTGGCATCTTTATCGAAAGAATCTTCATTATTTTTATTAGTTTATGTCTAACAAAATAACAATTCTACTGTAGAATGATCGACTTTAATTATACCTAATTGACTACGGCGTAGCAGCGGCTACGAATTTCGTAGCAGTAAAACAAAGTCAGACTTTTATAAATATTTTGGTTCTGAAATCTATGTATGTCCGTAGAAATTATTAACTCGCAGATTGCAATAGATAGATCTCAAAGATACATACTGTAATGAATAAAATTTGTACAAAAAACAATTTCAATTGACCTTTATAACTACAGACTATTTTTGGTATCAAAATGGGAAGCTCGGAGAGGCTCATGCAACAGAGGTAATCGAATCACAGATTTTAAATTTCCCAAAGGCAACGAAGTCACTGCCTTGATTTAATTTTGTTTGAAACAAAAAGGATCCTTTGCTTTTGTACTGTTCGATACCTATTACGTTTTGGGACAACCCTTTCTACGAAATACCTCTAGTATTCAGATCTACATTAAGATTCTTCTTTTCTACTATGTTTGTATTATATATCATTTGAGGAAGTTTTAATTATCACGTTGTCTATTATGAAAACTAAATTGATGTCTATTATTGTAGAGAAGTTTTAATTGTCGTTGGACTTCAATTTACCCCTTATACTTCGATTGTAATTAACCGGGAATAATTTAAGTGTTTAATTCTCGACAAAGACGTAATAGGAAATTTTTCCAGGGAACGAGTACACCTGTAAAAACATCACAACTATTAATATTTCAGAATTAAAAAGTACAATAGCTATATTACAATTTCAGTTTGTGCTTTATACCTACATCAATATATATACCTTTTAAGTTAATAACATAGTCCCAACTGAAAGTATACGACAAACGTAACACCACAGCAAAGTCTCAGTTTCTACTTTATACCAACGCCAGAATTCGCAACAATAACAGGACATATGTTAACAAATTACTTTACGTCATAGTGAGGAGGGTAAACCCAGTCGGGTTCCGTCTGTCTGGGCCGAATGCTGAATACCGACGCCGACGCCGAGTGTCTAATGTTTTGGCGTCTATTTCCACGTACTAAATTGATCTAATCTCCGGCAGGGACGGGCCACGGACGACTCCGGTGAACATGACCTAGTGCCCCATGACATCGGCACACCCCTCGCCCCCACACCATAATTGCTCGCCGACCTGACACGCACACAGACACACAAGTAAGTATTTCGTATGTAATCGCACCGTAACATGTAACGTGCTGGAATGAGTACGCGATTGTCTTAGGATTGCTTTGTTTAAGTTAAAATTAGGTTAAGTGGTGAAGACCTTTATAGCGGTAAAGTGGTCTGCATATTTTATTATCACTACACTGTCTATGTTGCCTGCAGTGTAACAAAAGAATTATCCTTAGTCGTCAGTAGCATCCTTACTATTTATTAGTTTGGTTTTCGTAGAAGAGATTGTTTCTTAATTGTTTATTTTTTAAAATAACAGTGACCTCACTGTACACAGTTATATAACTTTTAAACAACAATTCTTACTAATATTATAAATCGGAAAGTGAGTTTGTTTGTTTGTTCCGATTTCACGCCGTAACTGTCTTTTTTTTTTTTTTTTTTTTTTAAGGGGGGAAAATCATCGAATGACTGCCCGCCTGGGTGGCGGAAGGGAGTGTCAGACTCTTACTGACTAAAAACCACCCCGTTCCTTCTCCTGCACGTCGAGCCGGAGCCCCGGTTACCCGTTAGGTTCTCCGCGACGCCGTAACTGTCTGGATTAAATAATAGGGTACTTTTTATCCCGGAAAAATGATATTCCCGAGGAAGAACAAAAGTATTGGTATAGATGGCGCTGTATGTATTGGTCTATGTCACTGATGTCACATAGGCTACTTTTTATCCTATTGTGACGCGAGCGAAGCCGCGGGTAAAAGCTAGTAGGTTATAAATAAACGAAAATCGATTGAGTGCCCGCCTTAAAAATCATAACAAACAATACATGAACAAGTTCCAATCACTATAATAAAACGATGCTTAAACCAAATCTAAATACAGAGCTAAATTTTGAAAACTGAAACAATTACACAGTTATTTTCTCTGGGTTTTATTTGATTTCCAAGTTTTTATTGAATATCCCCAGAGGAGTTATTAATAGTCTTTACAAAACAAAATTATACCATGGCCGTAATTCAGTTTAATATGTTTAGAATGAAATTAAGCGTCAGGAAGAAAGAACAAACAAGTTTGTTAATAAGGTTTCAGCTTTACAGAAGTTTTTAACTTGGAACTGCTTTGTAACGAATCGTGATGAACGAACTGCAAACTAGAAGTTAGAGAAAAAGCTCGCTGTGTTGTCTTTAAAACTTTACACATTTTAGTACATGCGTCTGAACATCAAAATTATAGGTAAAGCAAAAATTGGACAAACTCAGGATAGTACCAAAATTATGCTATTAGCAATTAGCAGTTGTATGTATGTAGATATTGTAGATAACATAATAAAGATTGGTCTCGGGTTCGATTCCCGGGTCGGTCAAAGTATTACTGGGTTTTAAAAAAAGTTTCAGTAGTAGCACGGAGTCTGGAGTTGTGCCCGGTATATAGCAATAGACTCACCCCTTATTACATGGGACTCATAACATAAATAGTGAAAAGTAGGTGTTACATTGTACAGTGGCATAATGTGCACCTCTTTCTACCCCTTCGGGGCTAAAAGGCGTAATGTCATGTTATTTTTTATGTTTAATGGGCCAAAATTTGGCCCATTTAATCTATTGTAAACATTAGTCAGCTCAGTTTCTAACCAATACTGTCTCTGAATGGAATCAATCTTCTTTTATACCAAATGCCTTTATATATACCAAATTATTTCTTAGGCAAAAAGCTTTAATAAAACCAGTAAACAATTGAAGCAAAAATTAAAGTAACCAAGTATATGTCACTTTCCACAAACCTCAATGTTAGGGCGAGAGTCCACTGAATTAGTATTCCAGTCCCGTGTGCCGTCGATAGAATATTCAGCTCACCAATAAGTACGCAACGTACTTCAATCTAAATGTATACGAACATTATTTTTTGATACGTGCCCTTAGTGGTAATAAAGGGTTGCAGATTTATGGGGAATGAAATACAATTATGTGTATAGTATAATATAATATAATGACTGCCTCGTTGGCCTAGTGGTCGCAAGTGCTACTGCCGGGTAAGGGGTCTCGGAGTCGATTCCCACCCCCTATTACATGGGACTCATAACATAAATAGTGAAAAGTGGGTGTTACATTGTACATTGGCATAATGTGCACCTCTGCATATTTTTTTTTAAATTCAATCTCATTTATTCATTGTAGATCACAGTTAGGTTAGGTTAGTTTACATAATACAGTTGTTAGCATAATTTGGTTGAGCTCAGCTGTGTCCTGCCCATTGGGCATACCATAGTTGGTTTTTCATTCAATTCTTTACAAGACTTTGTTTAGACCTCCGAACTTATACTTTTAGTCTTTATGGGGATTTGTTAAGTGATCATAATTATTATTAAATGATATATAGTAACCAGAAACACAAAGATAATGGTACTTACTTTCCATATTCTAGAATAATATCGTAGATAAAACACATTTATATTCATGGGTAAACAAAATTATAATTCTAAATGCGGATCTCAACGAAAACAATTCGAAGTATAAAAATAAATACAGAATGAATGAGAAAAGAAATTCAAAACTCTTGAGTCAAGAATCATTGCATGAATATTTTCTGCCTTGAGGAAGAATTCTAAAACAGAAATGCAAAATTGTTACATCGTTGTGTACCTGCAAACCGGTCTCATTTTAAATCGCGTAAACTTGAGACAAAAGAAGTCTTGAGATTTTTCCTTCTTAAAATTTTAATACCGCAAACATTTTTGAGCTCTGCGGCTGGTAAATTTTACATAGTCTAATAGGTATTGCCATTTTTATCTTTTATATATTATATATTGTAGTCCGTAGACTACATATAATTCATTGATTGTTTATTTTTTTTATTGTTTTTCTTCTATTTTGGTTTTCTTTTATTGTGCATCTACCACCCTTTTCCCCGATTATTTTCAAAAATTCCATCCAAAGGTTGTATGGAAAAAATTGCCGCGTGTGATAAGACCGCCTATTGTACTCAAATTACTATCGCAATGTTTACAATTTTTTTTTCTGTGTGTGCAATAAAGTAAAAGTAAAATAGTCAACGTTTCTAACAAGTGACCTTTGTGGATTAGCGTTTTTGAAAAAAATCTCTATATGTAGGGAAACGCGTGAGGCCGTCAGCTTTGGTGTCATAAAAACACATGACGGTCGTCACAGGCAGGTGTCGGGAGAACATGTCACAACTGGTCTCTCCGGTATATGTCATCTGTTATTTTGTGGAGGTTAAATGTCACTCACACTGAGGGAAATACCAATAATATCTTGTGGCCCTACTAAATGCCAACGAAAATGTATTGTGTTGATATAAGCGAATTTTTTTCGGTAGTTATATCAAAAAAATATCCACTTTAGTGAAAACATAACATCACATAACATCACGCCTTTTTTACCCGAAGGGGTTGGCGAAGGTGCACATTACTGCACATGATGGTCCTGTACAATGTAACACCCACTTTTCACTATTTATGTTATGAGTCCCATGTAATAGGGGGTGAGCCTATTGCCATATACCGAGCACAATTTCAGATACCGTGCTACTGCTGAGATGTATGATGATGGATGTAAATAATATGCCCAGTAATACTTTGCCCGACCCGAGAATCAAACCTGAGATCCCTTGTCCGGCAACCGAACTTGCAACCATTCAGTCACCGTCAGGAACGAGGCAGTTAGTGGATAAGTAATTAAAAAAAAAACAAGAAACAAATGCATGCACTGCATTGCACGCAAATTAAGTGTTGTCAAGTTTTTATCCATGCTGTAGACATCTGTACTTTTCGTAAGTGTAAGATTATAACCCAGCCGAGTACGAAAATAACAAAGACGTATCCAGTAGTAATTCATCCGTGATCCACCAAGTTCGCAGATTGTTTAATAAAGGGTTAAACTTTGTCCCTAAACTCATCTGCTACTTCACTATGGTTAAGGTTCGTTACGTCACAAAACTTTCAGTTAGATTATATCTATGAAACAGGTCCTAATGTATATTAATGGCTTAACTTGCAAAGCCGTTCGTTAATTTAAATTAGGTTCTAAAAGCTAGGAATCCGTATTAAGTTTGTGGTTAATGGTGGCAGCGAAGTTTCCGTTTTATGAAACGTTTCCTACAAGTAATGTAGTTTATTATTCAATGGATTTTAACGTTCAATTCTGGTATCGATTATAACTTTTGACCGAATTTTCGAAAATAAATTATTAGGTGAATTATTTACGTGAATATACAGTAAGTTAAATAACAAATCTAACATATTATACTGATCAATGTATCCATGGAAGTATTTTATATTGGAATTAATATAATTTGAGCTTCTGTTACAACCGTACAGCGCCTACAAGACATTTCACATAATGAGTATCGTATTTCTTTTTACTACAAAATATTCAAAGTGACTTGCAGAATTGTCTTTTTAACGAGGTGCCTTGGGTCAGATACTATAAAATACTTTGTAGTAAGTTATGAGCCTCTACAGACATCGTAATTTGTTTCCTTTGTTATATTCCAGCGTTCAGATAATGGCTCAGTTTAGAATTTAGGGAGGTCAGGCTAGAGTAGTGTATTCTACCTGTGTAATTATTTAAGCCCAAATCTGCTTGTTGGATAATTTGTGTTGCCATTTATAATAAAGTAATCCTGCGGTTTAGAGCAAGTTTTAGTTGTAAAGTTATAGGGCTTTTGGACGTAGCTTGCGGTACTAATATGACGTATAAACTATATTGAGCCGACGCCTAGTTGTACGCAAAGTAATGGTAATAATAAAAGGTAGAAAAAGAGAAATAGTTAAAAAAGGTGAATAAAATATTTTCTGTTGTTGTATCTAGAAAGAAAGAAAAAACATTTATATAGCACCAGGCACGATGCAGCATAAAAAAAACAATTAAGGAGTGACAGTGGAATTAATATAAACATAAGAGTTGAAAAATTAAAACAGAAGAATTAGAAAGGAGACGCTGACAACATGCCTATGCTAAAAGGGTCACCCGCTCAGTATAATCCAGGCATACAAGTTACCCAGCACTGATTTTCAGTGGGCACCCGTGCAGTGACGCACAGATGATCACGGATGATGATATACTAGTAACTTGTGGTAAATATGGTTTATCTTTTGGCGTAGATTATAAAGAATGGTGCCGCGTTGGTTGCTGGTGTGCTGCGTGGTGCTGTGCGCTCGGCCGGCGCACCCGCAGGGCGCGCAGCAGTGCCCCGCGCCCAACACCATCACACCCTGCAGCTGCACCGTTAAAAAGAACGGCCTGGACATACTCTGCGAGTTCACTGAACAACAACACATACAGAAGGTAAATATTTATTATGATATTAGATTTATTTTTCATTATTGGTTGGTTGGTGGTATATTTAAGTATAAGGTTTAGCTTGATCTCTAGCTTTTAATTAAGGCACATGGTTTTGCATAAAATTGAAGAGATTAAACACAAATAGGCATCCATTAAAATTTATTGTAGATACCTAAATATGATAAAGACATAGTATTCAAAACTTACTTTTTCGTCCTTTAGAGATCGTAAGATAACTTTGTAATGGGAGCTGATCAATTGATAAACGCAGAACTTAAAATTCTAGTCACACATTTGAATAATGTTGATCCAATCGAAGTAGAAAATGTTTGGCAACTCGCCACATTTCTACTCTTCAAAGTTCATAGAACTTAGAAACTATGTTACAAATTCTGTTCAGCACTTTTATTTCTACACAATTTCGAAACGAGGCTCTATGTAATATTTGTAAAATTGAATTTTGTTCGCAGGCAATGAATACACTCCGTTCCAAGCCTATGATAATCTTCTACCTGAAGCTGCGACACAACAACCTCGCCAAGCTGCCTTCCTACATATTCCTGGGGCTGGACATCCGTCATTTGACCGTGCACAATAGTAGCCTCGCTGTTATAGAAGACTCTTCATTGAGTTCTATCGGTCAGTACAAGTTATTAACAAAATCATTTTTGTAAAAAAGAGTATTTATTTAGTAGTTAGCTTAGAGTCGACTGACATACCTACCTACGAATCTAAACAGCCTTTCCAAACAAAAGGATCGGTAGCGTGTGCCATTTCATGATAAAAAGAAGCATGGTTGTGTAATTTATATAGAAACCACCCTTGTTAAAGTGGCAGCTACCACAAAGGCCTCATTTCCATTTGTTAAAAGTTTGCCATTATAATTTAGAACCCAGTAAAGGTCTTGAAAGGCGGAAACTTCTACATTGGAAACCACATTTTCTGTTTCAACAAAGCCTAATTTTGCAGGTAACAAGTTAACACAACTTGACGTGTCCCAGAACAGCCTGGCAACAATACCAACCTCCTCGTTCACGCATCTCAACCATCTGCTTATTCTCAACATGAACCATAATAAGGTGAGCCCTTGAAATAAACATTGTTTCCTACGGTGCCATTATTTTGAGAGACGACGCGAGCGTCGACATTCATTTATATTGATTTCTGGTATGTGGGAGAAACGAGATTGGAAATTCGTTGTTATTTCGGCTCATACGTAATTTTACAATCAACATAACAAGATAATTTTATGATGTTTTGGAAATACATAATATCAAATAACGAAATCCATTCCTTACAATAAAAAATATATGTACAGTTTAAAAAAAACCTTCCACATTTTTTCTCTTAACTGGCCGTGGACAATAATAGTGCAGATGTTGTTAAAAGCATATGTTTGCAGGTGACTGCTGTACACAATAGGGCATTCATGGGCTTGGATACATTGGAGATTCTAACTCTGTATGAGAATCGGATATCTGTAGTGGACGGCGAGGCTTTTAAGGGACTCGAGAAGTAAGTAGCATGTTACCGCAATTCGATTTATATTTAGATTTATATTTGAATAATTTTGTTGGAATAGAATTCTAAAGAAAACTTTAAAAGCTATTTAAAGTATTTGTTAATCCACATTACTGTGGACACTATTGTAATGAAGTTTTGCTGATAGTCTTATCCAGTCTTCAATTGATGGACATTGATAAATAATTTACTATAGTTCCAATCCTGCTTTCTTATTCTAATTATTCTGAGTATTGTATTAAACATACCTTATAATACGTGTAAGTTCAATATAAATGTCAAGTGAAATAGGATTTCTCAAAGAAGGTCTTTGTTTTAGAAAGCTGAAAAGGCTAAACCTTGGCGGCAATGATTTGACAGCGGTGCCACAGAAAGCGCTCGCTCTTTTAGAAAATTTGAAAAAGCTTGAAATGCAAGAGAATCGTATTGCTACCATTACTGAAGGAGATTTTGCAGGTAATACTAAACTTTATTGCAATCATTTTAAAATTTAGATTAATTAAATATTCTAATAATAGAAAAATTAAACCTTTGCTTGTATTGACAGCGAAATATGCTCGTATGTATACGACTATATTTCGCTAAAACAAATGATACAGTACAGTACCGAAACAACCTTTCACTACATTTGTAATTACTATAGTATGTACAAAATTTCCTATTTCGATATACAAACATGAATATACGAGCTTCTGTACACATTATTATGTAGATAATGCACTGTTGTTTCGCTATTTTTGTATTCAGTGGACGTTGTCCAAATTTATACGAAGAGGGCTGTCTCCATGGCTTCCCATGGGTGTCGTAAATACCATCCAAGGGATTACGCCGTGGCTCGTGGGTTGGGCAACATTACTCACATTTGATTATGGTTAGCTCCCCCTTAAATTGTGAGACTTTACGTCCAGTAAAGTATCCATGCTTGACATAAAAAAGGAAAAAAAAAATAAAACCATTCGCTTCATGTCGTATTCAATTACCTGAATGGTATGTATTTAAACCAATTTCTAAAAAGCTGCTTATTGTGTGTATTTAGATGTACTGTTGCGATGATTTGCATTTTTTTGTAGGTCTACGCAGTTTAGATTCTCTAGGCTTGGCCCACAATCAGCTCCGCGAGGTACCCGCCCAGGTATTCTCGCATTTGACGTTCCTGAACTCTTTGGAGCTGGAAGGCAATCTGATCCAAAGGATTGATGAAAAAGCCTTTGCTGGACTTGAAGGTAAAATTTTCCTAATTGTTAGAGTATTTTATTTAGATTTGATTGAACTTTTCCCTGTACTTCATCAATTGACACAAATAACGATAACAATAAGTTTAGTGACAACTTACATGACTTTTACGAAAACCTTTTTTAATCCAATAACTGTTTTCCTACGTAGTCGGAGGATTATCCTCAACATTTTATTGAAGACTATTAACTCAACATATAACTTGTGAGAAAGAGGAAAAAGTCCCTTTATCGACGGAATAAAACGAGTTGTACATTAAATATTTCTACGGTTCACGGATTACATCTGATTTTATAGCTTGTTTATTTTCTTCCCTTTCTTTACGAGTATTGTTGCTTTACGATATTTTCTTTTATAGAAAACCTACAATACCTTCGTTTGGGAGATAATCGTCTGCATGAGATCCCTTCGGAAGCTCTTCGTCCCCTGCACCGACTCCGACACTTGGACCTTCGTTCTAACAACATCACCTACATCAGTGAAGATGCCTTTACTGGCTATGGAGACTCCATCACCTTCCTCAATCTGCAGAAAAATATGTAAGTTTATCTAGTTCATACCTTGCAACTAACGATGTGCTTGTCATTCTTTTTGATCGAGTTTAGTAAATAGAAAAACATGTTAATATACCAAATAATTTTAATGAGGTATAAGTACTTACATAATCTTTTTAGAGAATAAAAGTGGAATGTTATTTATGTATTGTACTCTGTGGTTGTACTCAAGAACTCGTCGAAGCGCGTCGATTTTGATTAGAATATAAAATTACAACATAAATTATTAATCAATATTTTTATTGTTTAACACGAGCTTGGCTATTGTTTAATTTTTCTAATGTACTTACCTACATTTTAAAACATAAAATCAAGATATATTGATGATTACAATATTAAAATAGATCGTATAATAAACAATTTCGTGCAAATTCATTCACATTTTATAAGAAGTTACTTAAGTAAGGGTGCACTTAATAAGATGACGTAACATTTAATCTTGACCTTTATGTAGATGTTGATAATTGCTTGCCAATTTCCCAATATAATAATTTATTAATGTTACGCCTACAAAAAGCTATAATATTTTATCCGTTCTAAACTTGCGTATCGTTATACGACAGGCGCTTATTAATACACAGGCCGTAGTTTCATAGATTGTTTAATAGAGACTTAGGAAAGAAAAATATATGTGTATCTAATACTTAGCATCTTTGTTTAGCAAATCTCTGCTCTGAAATCTCACGAGTCCATGGTCCATAATACCTACGCTTAGCGTGCAGATTACATAGTAGTTTGTACTAAACCGCTCCCCAAATCGCATGCTGCACCGACTCAGTTTCCCGCAACTTTAACCACTTCAGTTAAACCTAACTTTGTTGTAACAGGATCCACCAACTGCCGACTATGGGCTTCGACAACCTGAATTCCTTGGAGACTCTAAATCTACAGAACAACAAGCTGCAACATATTCCTGAGGAAATTATGGAGCCCATTTTAGATACGCTTCGAGTTGTCGATATTATGGGTCAGTATTTAAATAATTCTAATTACTAACCTTAAAGAATTCTAAAACAATTTCCTCTAAGAGGTTTAAGAAATTTTTTTTTTTTGTAATTAAAATAAGGACATTGTTTTGTTTGTTTCAATTGTTTTGTTTACTTATTATAACAATTGTCCACAATTTCAATTAAGTATTTGTTTTGACGACAGATAACCCACTGATCTGTGACTGCGAGTTGGCGTGGTACGAGGCCTGGCTCGCAGGTCTTCGAGACAGAGACGACGAAATGATGCAGAAGAAGAGGACTGTCTGCACCATGGTGAACGAGCACCGTGAGTACAGCGTCGCCAAGATGCCGCTGGAGAAGATGAACTGTAAACGGAAACCAGCGTACGGACGCACTTCTGCAGCGCCCATCCGCGCTGACGTCTGCTTCGCGACTAAAGTCCTTTTTGTCGTGGCAGCCAGGTGGCTCTAGAATAATCATAAACATACATTTGTAATGAGTTAACCCTAATTTAATTTTCGCGAAGGGTCACCCTCGGGCCAGCTGTGGCCGGATGGCTCGACGCGTGTCTCTTCGCAGCGTTTGTATTTTCCGTTCAAAACTTGTAACGTGATGAATTTGTGCAATAAACTACGATACATATCAATTTTGGGCTGATAAACAAAATTAGTAATATATTATGGAGCGGTAGCTTGGTAAGTGAAGATGGACGTTTTTCAAGGATGGTAAGTTAGTGGTACAGTATTTTTACATTGTAGTAAAAACCTCTTACGGTATGCCTTACTAATAGTAATGTACCAGAATGTAGGGAACTACACGTAACACCAGGCATCTCTAGCTAGTAGGTATCACTGAAGGTGTGTTTCATGTCTTTATGGTCGTAGCATGCTCTCAGCATGAAGAAAACTTAAATAAATTTTCAATATGAATGTGATTTCACAATGAGCTAGAACTTTTACACAATCTTTAGCAATGAACAATTTCATTTTAAATTTTACAATTCCCTATGAATTCGAAGGAGAATTTTAATATTTTTTATCGTTTACCCCTGCCTTACGATGTAACCTATTAGTAAGCTTTTACGTATTTACAATGTTGACTATTACGATATTAATATTCTATGATACGTGTAAGAGGGCTCGAGGTACGAGTATTTTACCTCACGGTACGTATATTTACCCCTAATTATATAGCCACACGATGATTGTCGGTGGGATCTTCTCAATACATGTACGCTGTGTATCGTTTACAGGCTTGTGTTCGCTTTGGAGATGGTACGAATATGTTATCTTCATCATTATATTACGTAGTTAGAGCCCATAAAATAAATGTTCTATTTGATGTAGAATTTAGTATTAATTAGATAAATAAGTGTTAGATGAGATTCGATTTAAATCAAAGCTGTTTATAGTTTGAGAATTTGTAGCATTTACCCGATCCAGTTTGGTTCGTAGTACTAGTGTCATTTTGATATTTTATTTCATAAGATTTACGTTATTAAGTTATATTTATTTTTTGACTTAGAAGTTAAGTTTTTACGTGTAAAGACATAGTTTTTTTAATTATAATAGATTTTATGTTCAGTTAATACTCGATGTTAAAGTTTAACATTAGTCTAGTGGAGTAATAAATGTGACTTTGAACATATTTCCTTTGCTTTGTAGTCGCCTTACCTAGCAACAAAATTTAAAAAGAGGGAATAATGTTCTGAGCCCTGTGATCAATATAATAATATGACGTGTATTTAAATCATTATCAAGTGATAAAATTGTAACCAAAAACATATCCTTTAGTCTGAATTACTAATTATAAGAATGTTTACGATATACAATGTTTAAAATCGAATATATTTATAGTAGAATGTGGACCTAAACTGTTAATGAACAAGAAGAAGTTTGAAGACTACAAGAATACGAAATATCGATATATATTATATATCGCGTTACTGCAAACTAAATTTGGATATTCCTATTTCAAGCACATTTGCGTCGAGTTTCGTATTTTAGTAGTAGGAACGAAAAGTTTAATGATATTTTGAAACTGTTTTGTGAATGAAAATGTGAAGTTAAACACGATTGCAATATTAACGTCTAAACTGAAAGGCTACTGAAATTTAAGTTGCATGTAAATATAGTTCTATCTCTACAAATTCTTTGTTAAATGACAGAGATAACACGATATTTAAGTAGAACTGTTTAAATAGATCTCACAGTAAACCGACGTGAAGCAACGCTTGCGTTATGTTTCGTCGTGTGAGTAAGGTTACCGGAGGATCAATTACCCCCTTCCCCAATCTCCCCAATCCCTGAATCCCCAACAATCCTCAAACTCCTCAAATTAAACCAAAAGGCCGGTAACGCACTTGTATCGCCTTTGGTGTTCCAGGTGTCCATGGGCGACGCCGATTACTTACTATCAGTGATCCGTCTGCTCGCTTATCGGCTCATGCCATAAAAAAAAAGAACTTGTTTGAGTTAGCCTTTCGATATTCGGGCGTAAGTAACGTATAACTTCAGAATGTATTGGATTGCAAGCAATAAACTGTTTAAGCTGAAATTAATAACAAAAATAACATGAAAACAAACAAAGGTCGATGTGATAATATCCAGGGGTTGCGATTTTATGGTTGACCAAATATTTAAGTTATCCCACAGGTCATGAAATGTTTCGAATCATACCCTTCGTGTTTGTATATGGTTAAGTATTTAAAATGTGTTAATGATGTAAGGCGCGAGATTGGGTACTCTTGTACACAATTTACATGTATTTGACACATTTTGCTAATAAATCAATATTGGTGTTGTTACGTAGTGTTGATGTTGAAGCTTCAATGTTTATGTCATACACTATTCACATATATAGCGGTTCGTGCACTTTATACACAAATATAGCACTTATATACTCGTATTTTATGGATCAGAGTCGAAGGAACCTGACTATGTTTAAGGAATTTCATGAACCGTCTCATGTTTAATCGGTATATTATAAATTTTGATGTTATAAATGTCGTGTTGCACTGTTTTCGAATATTCTATTGTCTTTACGCTTTCTCTATGATCCGACGCAAGTTAAATGTTAAGCTTAATTCATGCTATGGGTCAATTTTATGGACGTCTCTGAAATCAATCACAATGCAATTCAATATGAGAATGGTTCTTGTACTTCAGGAAACCAAGACTAAGTATTTTCAATAGCATAACATAAATAGTGAAAAGTGGGTGTTACATTGCACAGTGGCATTAAGTGTCTAATGTGCACCTACCCCTACCCCTTAGGGGATAAAAGACGTAATACGTCTTTTATCCTATTATGCAAAAATATGTCTGCTGAATTACACCCAAAAAGAGTGAAATCAGCGGCGATCATCGTGTAACCATATATAGAAAATCAAAGAGATAAATAAAATTGTCCCAAAGCAAAACTTATACTATACTTTAATCGTGTTATTCTAAATCTAATTACTCAATATAATTTTTGATGTTCTTCATAATATATTGTTAAATTAGCATATTCTTAATTAATTGAAATCGTATGTCGTCTGGAAATTATTCACTTGGAAAATTTTTGAAGCTACTCTATGACTCTGTCATGTATTTAAAATAATTATATTCGCAATATTATATTGGATGTAATAAAAAAAGAACCAGCATAAGACATATCGTGGAAGTGGGGGCGAAATAATCAATTTGAGCACCACTAACCTTGCATATCAATAGTTATATAGTTAAGTCAATGTAATTTTTTAATATATATATCCACTGTTAACATATATTATGTGTGTTGTTTATATAAACGTATATTCATTGTTAATATTTCACTGTTGTATGGATGAATATCGCTTGTATTATATTATCTGTGTACCTTAGTCAGTAAGTTCAATTTATATCATTACAATTGATATTAAACTGTTGGTATTTTGTTCAGAAATAATCAATATATCAGAATACTTACCAATATATCTGTAATCGGTAGGATACGTTGTTAAATTCCATGTTATCCCATTCTATTCCTTGTCGTTGATAGTCACATTTATTATTTAAATAAAATTAAATATAAATGGTAGATAATTTAAATCTAATATTGAAAATTTGCTGTAAAGGTGTATTTATTTAATTTCGGTTTAAATAAAAATTTAACTATGAATATGTGTTTTAATAACTGGATTGCCCCACACCAGGATTTTCTCCTGTGTCATGGTTGCGTTTACAAACATACAAGATTACATACACATGACACCCGACAACACATACCGACACCCGAACACATAAAGAGTTGTTCTGTGCGGGAATCTAACCTGCTGCACGTTGCTCTGCAGCCGGTTGCCCAGCCACCGCACCAACCGTGCAGTCAATCATGTTTATCATAATATTAAAACCTAAAGTAAATGAATATTTTGAAATTGACAAAGTAATAGCAATTCTTGGTAAAATATGCACGTAAAATAGTGATTAAATTTTTCTAAGAACGGAAATAACTTTCTGTAAAGATTTTTCGTCCGAACTTTATTGTTAAAATTAATAAACGTAATTCATTAAAAAACAAATATAGTTTCCTAGATGATTGGGAATTTATCAAGCATTACATTGTTGATGAAGCGAAAGAGGTATGTAAAGAACCTAGTCTCTGCCTACCCCCATGGGAGACAGGCGTGTAGTTATGTATGTATGTAGATTTAATCAAGAAAATTAGATAAATAAGATCCCGTTATACTAATTGGTTACACATATACAATTTTAATTTATGGGTTACACAAATACAATTATAAACTGCACTGAAATCATTTATTGCAATTTTTCAAAAATCATAATAAAATTGAACAAATTATTAAACTAAATCAAATGCTTGGCTTATATTAAGACATTTTCATTAATATTGAAAGTTTCATCCTTCAATTTTATAAATATGTGGTGTTACAAAAACACTTACTTACCTACTTGCCTCATTTTCATAATATTTTTGGGCATATTGCCGCGTAATGTTCAGGTATTTTTAAACAGGCTCTTACGCAAACTTTGTGAAGGTAATGTTAACGGACGTGGTGTAATAAAGGCTTTGATACATCGGCGGAGACTTACGGGAACACACCGCCGGAATACTTCAGGGGATCAAATTGAAAAGTTGGTTTAATAAATTGAAATATATCTTGGAAAGTATGTACCTATTTGGTATGAGCTGGTTGTTGGTCGGCAGTTGGTAACTAATGAAATCTATAGGTACCTCAGGGCTAATTTTGTAGGAAATTAGTCGTATTATCACCTCCCGATAGGAATACGTCGAGTTACAAGTCACTCTTTATATAAAAGAAAGTCGTGTTAGTTCAACAATTTATAACTCAAGAACGGCTAAATCGATTTCGATGACAATTGGTGGGGAGACAGACATAGGATACTTTTGATCCAACAGTTTTTGTTTTTACTTTTTACCGAAAATCACGAACGGGAACGGGAAAAACAGTACGATTGCGCGTAATTCATCATCAACAGCCTATAAGTGCCCACTGCTGAGCAAAACCTCTTCTCACACGCGGCTCCGTATAACCATAAGTACCTAGGTGGTAAATGTAGGTGGCTTATTAATTTAGTATATACTTACACAGTGTAATGCCCTATTTTATTTTATTTTATCACGGAAATCTCAAAAATTCCTATTCAATATTAAAAAAATACGAATTCCGGTAAATATTATCTTAGGTTTAAGCCGGTAAGTACCATCGTTTAATTTCACGTCACAGAAGTTTTTCGTGTACTTTTCCGAGAAAAGGGGACTCAAGTCCCTCCCAATGAATTAAAAGAGGAGTTTCTTTCAATGTTCGGATGGAGGACGTTCATCCGATGATTCCATAAAGTTTCTTCAATATAATTGAGTTTGGTTACCGGTCTATCGTAATGCCAATTGAAAACATATTTTATTGATAAAAACGCTTATAGGAATTGGTTTTGTATTTTTCCTAGTTATATTATTTTTTTATTATATTTAATTTTTTTAAATATGGATTAAGTTCTTATATTATTTGTATTATAGGTATTTGGCTAAAAAAGAACGATAGCAACCTGTCATAGTGGATATTATATACCTATCAAAAGCATGTTACATTTCATTTAATCCCCAAAGATGGAGGATCTTTGGGGATGATCTTGATTTCTTTAAAAAACTTTTATAATTTCTAGAGGATTCGTATATAGAAAACTAAAGTTGTGTTGACATGATTCTATGTTGTTCTTAAATAATTTAGTTAATGCTATCAACCTAACAAACTGAGACCAATTAACGTCTATTTTCATCAGTTCCAGATATCTATTTTTAGGTAAACAAATTTGGGAATATTTGTC